GCTCTCTCGTGCTAGCATAAGTGCGAGAGCATGTGCCCTCGTGTGCCCCTCTCACAAACTAAGGGCAAAAAAAAAAAAAAAAGAAAGAACCCTGAAGATAGCTCGAATTATTCCCTATAAGGGTGCGTACCCTTGAGCGATTTTTTGGGTGCCGTTCAGCCATTAGTTTGTAAGAGAGGTGTGCTGTCCACACACACACACACACACACACACACACACACACACACACAGAGACAGAGAGAGAGAGAGAGAGAGAGAGAGAGAGAGAGAGAGAGAGAGAGAGAGAGAGAGAGAGAGAGAGAGATTCTGTCATTGCGATGGGGGAGAGAGGAAAAAAAGGCTGGGAAATGTTTACTGGTGGTTTTAAAGTGTGGTGTGTTCAGCGTGTATCATGTGTTTGGCATGAAGGGGACACATCTGGCAATAGCCGGAAAACGACCACTTCTCCCAAGCTTGGTTCTCTAAACCTGAGTCTTGCCTAACCCTGGACATTCAGACCCTTGGCAATATTAACCTGATTCCTGTATGCAGTGTGGGCTCTTGCTGTTGGGATTGTGATCGACAGTGGAGGTTGGTGGCGACAGTTGTTCTCTGGAGCTCTCTGCAACCTCCTCTGGGATGCTACTTCACCACACGGTGACCCCCAGGGCCCCCACTTATACTACCGTCTTCACCCGAATAGAACGGCCGCTCATTATAGCTGTATTTTTTGGGGGGCAGTTTTCAGTCTAGATACAGCGATAAGGACCGGGCGTTCTATTCGGGTGAAGACGGTAGTGAGATGTGTGTGGGGTAGTGGTCGCTTGACAGGAGGATCTAGGGTAGCTGCAGCATGTTGGAATCGATGGTTCCAAATGTCTGGTGAGGATGACAGGTTGGACAGCAAAGAAACTTCTTTGACTGAGTTCTATTGCAGTTCTAGCGCAAGGGAAGGTTATTCATTGTCATTACTACCATTCGAATGCAAGGAAAAAACCTTTTTTGCGGAAAAGACTTGTCGCTATGATTCCTCATTCCTAGTTTCTACGGAAAAGACTGTTGCAGCTATGATTCCTCATTCCTATCTTTCTGCATCCATGGGATGCATACAGTACGGTGCTCACCTTTTCAAAAACTAATATTGAAGTTTCGTAGCCCCGATCTTGTTCCCAGGAGGGGTGCCCACAAAGATCTGGTGCACCTAAATAGTCAATGGATGTTGGAGTATGTGCCAAAATCGGAACTCATAATTGCCTAATGCGTGAGGCGTTACTTTTCATAAAGGACGAATTATAGTATTCTACAAGCTAAGCATCACCCTTGTAGGCTTGTCCGCTCATATGATGTCTGGATGGTGGTTGCGCAGTTGCCTGTTGTGCACACAGTGATAGATATAGTGATGCCAGTCTGGAATATTCGTAAACTTTTTCAATGACAGTTTTGCCCAAGACTCCATACCATTAGGTTTTAGGTTTGTGCCGAACTTTGCCGCGAAGCTAGTAGAGTTTTGAGGTCGGGCCAGATTCCACAGGAAAGCGGAAAGAAAACTGCGAGGGGCCATTTCCGGCACTCGTTTCCGGATTGGAAACGCTCGAGTTTCGAACAACAGGATCCCACAGCTGCCAAGTTTCCAGATGAATCAGAAGGAAGCGCTTTCCGCTCGAGGATAGCGCGCACCCTTGTTTCCTGGAAGAGGAAATGCAGCGGCTGGACCGAAAAGTTCGATATGGGCTTCCAGAGCACTGTGGTGTAGGGAGGGAAGTTCGCTCGAGTTTCCAAGAGTTTCCAGCCCTCCCCCCTACACCCACCAGTTGCCCACCAATTCTGGAAGACAGTGCCCTGGAACCAATCAGGTTTGAGGCAAACAGACTTTAACCAAATGAAAGAGAGGCCCTTTTTTTTCTTGGGGGGGTGTTTTGGGGGGGGTGGGGGGAGGACGGGCGGTTCTTTCCAGGCGGATGGTGGTTCTCTGCGGGACGAGGAAAATCTTTCCAACTGCCTTTCCGGAAGTTGCTGCCTGTCTGTGGAATTCTCGCCCGTAGGGATATCATCTTATGCCATTTGTTTTTCACCCATTCAGGCCGTCATAATTTTCTGGCTTTCCAATTTACTTGCTATTTTCTGCTGAGCACTAGTGCTCAGCATTGTTTTCTACGGGTAAAGAAAAAAATTTAGGGAATTTCAGTTGCTGCACAACTTTCGTCACCCTACGTCAACTCGATAAGGCGGATCACTGTATCACTGCAGTGATTGCATTGGCAATCTGCTGTCTGGAGAGTTACGAACTCACAGCTGTCAAGATTGAGGTGATCTGTGTGAGGGAACTCCGAACTTATTTTTCACTTGCCTTCGCTTTGCACTCTTTGATTTAAAACAATCATGAAAGAGAGAAGATAATAGGGCCTTGCTCCACTACTAAACATTCTGCATGCCTTTGGATGGCTTGCTGGACCCGATGTATTCATAGGAGGCCAACGCTTCGAGTACATCTGGGCGATTCTGAGCTCCACATACATATGGAGTGTTGTGTAGTTGGAGTGAGGTCGCTTGTCCCGACAGAAGATCTAGCAGAGTTTCCTGGCAAGTTGAATGTACCTGAAATGACCTTTATGATGGCCCACTCTGACTTTGTGCAGAGCTTTGTCCCAAGTAAGGAATGTACGCTGCCAGACAGTTTTGATGGTACAGAACAAGAACGCCTTTCTGCAACCTGTGGACTCCCTTCCTCCTCTCTGCCACCTGCTCTGTAGTTGCCAGCAGGGCAATTGCAGCTTGTGTGTTTCTCTAGCTTCATGGGTACTGTGTTTGTTCAGGCCCCACTGGGTTACAAAGATGCTTGACCAGCATGATCCTTTTTTTTTTTTTTAAGAAAGGGCGACGGCCTTGAGATATCATCATTGAAGCTGACGGGTGCCAGGTAGTGCAGAATTATGTTATTCTGGGAATCTGATTGTATCTGGATTCGAACTGGGGTCTGTATTTCAACAGTTCGTGGGTGTCCCAATTGGCCAGCATGATCCTAGTGTGTGTTGGAACTCTTATTTACATCAGCCTACCCTCTTCACCCGAATAGAACGCCCGGCCACTCTTAGCTGTATTTGGGGCAACATTCAGTCCAGATCCCCTGCGATAATTACCAGTGCTTCTGTTCAGGTGAAGACGGCGGCTCAATCATCGTCTAGTGGGGCTCATTCTTTGGTCAGCAAGTGAACATGCTGATTGCTGATTATGGCTTGTTGTATCACGCTTGCGTGCTTTGGGCTACACCCAAAGCCCTGTGGCCGTCATTTTAAGAAAAAAAGGTTCTTTGGCTGTAGGTTGCGTGCTTCGGGCAAAAACGCTCTGTGGCAGTCATTTCTAAAAATGTGCTTTGGCTGTAGCCGCTGTACGATGCCCTTAGATTCTGTGGGGCCTCACTGTTAGGTGTTGGCGTATGGAAAATGGATCTTGTGTGACCATTTCATTGACAGGGGTGTCGGACACATGGGCTCTGGTCTCTTTGGTGAAGTGGCCTGACTAATCAGAGTGCGACTCCTTTAACGGAAGCGAGAAGTGGAATATCTGGCAATGCCACTTCACGTCTGCAAGGACAGCATTGCTGCTGGAGACTGGTAGGAGATCACTGCTCATGCCTCCTCCCGCTGGCTTTGGTGTATCTTTCTCTGCGCTTACTGGCAAGTCATTGAGGAACAGGGAAGCGAACTGGTACTGTCGGCTTTGCAGGTGGAATATTTGGTCCCACCTGGCAGGGCCACTCTCAGTTGGGAAGCAGGAAATGTGCTCGCTGAGAGAAGATTCCCGTCCGCTGGTGAAATTGTGTCCGTTTATGGATCTTGTACGATGTAGATTACTCTGCAAGAGTCCCTGTAGGTCTATCTCTTGTCGTTCATAGGCTTCTTTTGCCCATACGCGTTGAACCAAGAAGAGAGTCTCTGTGATATGTAATGCCTGGAGTACGTAGTTTGAAAAGTGATCGAAGAGACTCTCTTCTTGATTCGAATAAGAATGATCGCCCACTGGTACGGTCAGAAAATCAAAACAAGGAAAAAAGTCAACTCGATCAGTACACTGTGCATCAACTGACAGGAACATGGATTATCCGGTTAGTAGATGATCGAAGACAATACAGCAATGAACAAAGAGAATGTTGCTTTTTCACAATGTTTCTTGAAAGTCCCGGCTAGTGATGCGATACACATTTTTTCCCCCTCCCCTTCTCTCTTCCCTTTCCCCGTGCAGAAATGCGCACGACTGAGCATCACTACAAAACGAACAAAAATGTAAGGTGCAGCAGACATAGTGGACCTTGCACCACCTCTCAGAATACACCAATGACGAGGCCGTTTTGTCAAAAACGTTACGATTATTGAAACATACTACAACCATGAACTGTTCTTGTAGAACTGAGTTCGAACCCAGCTAGAAGTAGATGATGATATTCTCGAATTGTCTCGGGCACGTCTGGTCTGGTATCCCACCTACACCTCGCGTTCACGAACTCCCAGTTCAACTGCATCTCGGAGACACGGTCGGAGATCTTCCAAGGACTGGCTAAATCCAGTGATCTTCTTTCACGACAGGCTATGGTCACTGGAATGAGTTTGTCATTCCAGTTCCACAAGAGAGAGAGAGAGAGAGAGAGAGAGASGGGGGGGGGGGGGGGGGGAGGGAGAGAGAGAGAGAGATTAGCCTGAGCATGTACTGAGCATTCCTGATGTACCTAAGCGTGCAAGATACTCAGGTGGCACTGTAAAGATGGTTACCTATCAAGGCCACAAGGACTATCACTTTTGTATGCACTGTGCAACGAATTGGTGTTCGCGAGAAAGAAACTTCTTTCAGCTAAACAAGCCTGTGGAGGAGAAAGGTTTCACAATGACTGAATATATTTCACCATGCTGTGATTGGGACAGCACAATAATTCTTTGACATGAGAAGATGTCGGTGTTCTTAATATTCTTTTCGCCCATGGCTGGGTGGTCTTCTGTCTGGCTGTTGGTTGTCATGCTGTGCTTTTGCAGATCTGATTGCCGATGGCTTCTGGTGCTTTGTATCGCTGCACGTGCTGGCACGCACGGAGTCTGTGAAGTGGCTACTTCTGAAACAGCGGCTGGAGGCCTCCTGTCCTTCTCCCAGGCGGTATCTCATGCCTCTCCAGAGGCTGCCATTAAAGGGAACACATATGCACTTGTTGAAAGTGTGCACAACAGATCGCTCTGGACTGTTGAATGGTAAGTGATGGCAGCGTGTAATTTAAGTGTCATCTGTTATGTCCACATGTTGCATTCATGCTTCTCGTCATTGCTTTTCGGATCTGCAATTGCTTGTTCTTTCAGTCTTGTCACACAGTTTTTGTGACATGTGTCGGGGAGTGCGTGATGAGGGCCAGGTCGCTGCCCGGTGAGGGACTATGTGCCCTGAAGGAGAGTATCGAGGGATGCCGTGGGACGGAAGTATGTGATTGCACTGCAGCTGTGCGGGGGCGTAAGTATGTGATTGCACTGCAACTGTGCGGGTTTTTTTAACACTGCGTCACATTTGCAGTGGTTAAGGCATCTGGCTGTTGAGCCAGAGATTGCTGGTTTGATTCTTTGCAGGGTCAGATCAAGAGAGGGTACTGAATAACATGTGTGCCTGGGATGGGCAGTGGTGCTGCACATATACAGCACACGAGAGAGAGAGAGAGAGAGAGAGAGAGAGAGAGTTGCTTTCTTGATATTCAATTTGTTTATTTGTTGTTGCGTGTCGTTGATTTTGTCATGGCCATCATGTCATGCAGACGTCGCACACATATTGTGGCAGCTGGAGTTTACAATTCACCGAGTGAATGTCTCAACTTGTCCTGATGGCCAGGCTGTTGATCTATTGTTTATAACAGACGAAAGGTATGTTGTTGAGCGAGTGTGTCTGCACAGTGCGTACATGGAAGTTACCTTCTCCCGTCCTTGCGCTTTTACTCCTGGGCTATAAGTCCACTTTCTACTCAGTCTGGATGACATATGGGCTTATGTGTGATTGTGTATATGGAGCATGTCTGTCTGCAACTTTGCATACGTTCAATCCTTTCCCATTACTCTGTTTTCCAGCTTTGGACATTCAGACAGTGATGTTCATGGTTGACTACCGTCTTCCCCCGAACACAACGCACCCTCATTTTGGCTGTATCTGGCCGGAAATATAGCTTGTATACGTTCATTTTTAGGGTGCGTTATGTTCGGGGGAAGACGGTAGGTGTTGAATTGTCGTCCACAGGGAGCCTTTCATTTTTTTGTTTGCTTGCTTGCAAATATATTGCACTGGGGAAAAGATAAAACCACACATGTTTTTGAATTCAAACTGTGCTCCCTGTCGGTTTCACCTCAGGAATGTTCACAACTGGTTTCCGCCCCAGGGGACATCTGTTTGGAACAATACAGAGAAGATTAGCACGGTCCCTGCACAAGGATGAAACACATGAATCGAGAAATGGTCCAGAAAAAAAAGAAAGTCTTAATCTGTGAAGAACAGTGTCCCATAAAACAAGCAAGAAAAAGAGATGAAAAGGCACATTGTCAATCTCCATCCAATCTAGTGTGGGCTGTTGGTTTAGAATCTTTAGATGAGTCCCATATGTCGGGCACCCTGCTTTTTGGGGGCCAGAAGGGGGGGGCGGGAGGGGGGGGAGAGAGAGAGAGAGAGATTGAAACAAGATACATATTTGGGCACTATCAGGCCTTAGGTCAACCCATGATGTAGTTATGATGAATTCTCTGGCAAAAGTCGTTGCGCAAACGTGAGGTAGAAGATGAAATAGCATCTGCAACAGTTGCAAGTAAATGAGATGAAACTCTCCCAATTTCTTTATATTACACATTATTATGACCTAAGAGAGCAGACGTTCCAGTCAAATTTACTGCCTGAAAGATCCGTCTTATCCAAGCAAAAGAGGATTTTACTCGTCATTTCAACTTGATAGTGTTTATGTAAACAGAACCCAGACTGTTTACCTCGTGTGTGAACTCCCTTGGCCCTTGAGTCTACCATTGACATGCAAACTTTGGAAGTCGGACTCTTTCCATATTAGGCATTCTGTTTGGGCAGGCAGGTTGTTCCCATGTGACCCCTTACCAGCCTGTGGCAAGGACACTTTCCATATTAGGCATTCTGTAGAGTGGCTGTGTGAGCAACAAGAAGATGCTCACAGAGCCACTCTACAGTAAGCAACAAACATCACGGCAATTGATTGATGTAGTCGTAGAGAGCTCAGTTGCTACGGCTGCGCTACTTGTTGCTTCCAATAGAGGGGAAACAAACAAGGACAAAGTGGAAATAGTTGAACCCCATGACTAATTCTTTCTTTTGTTGAGTCACACTGCTGCCATATATCATCAAGGGCCTGCCAGTGTGAAGCAAATGAGCTGACCACTGAAACTACTGGACTCATATAAGGTACTGCTAGAACGTACTGGCCTCACTCCAACTGGACGACATGGGGATGTTTCTCACACATGGAGTGACGGTAATCAAAGGCTTTTTTTTTTTTTTTGTTTGGCAATCAAAGATTCTATCTTGTTCTGTGGAAATTAGTCTGATGACTGTGATCACCTGATGCCAGTAGAAAACTTACAGTTGAATTGAACCGACTCGACCGAGCTTATGTCACCACAGCAGTAATGATTATAGCTATGCCAACTGGAATCAAGGTAATTAGTTGAATGAACTTGGATCACAACTATGTGCACTACTGCGGTGTCTCCTACTGAAACTATTGGAGTCGTATAAGGTGTTGCTAAAACGTACTGGCCTCACTCCAACAGGACGGCATGGGGATGTTTCTCATAGCTACTGAAACTATTGGAGTCGTATAGGGTGTTGCTAAAACGTACTGGCCTCACTCCAACAGGACGGCATGGGGATGTTTCTCACACATGGAGTGATGGTAACAAAGCTTTTTTTTTTTTTTTTTTGGTTAAAAGATCCTATATTGTTCTATGGAAAGTACTCCGATGACTCTGAATCATCTGATGGCAGTAGAAAACTTAGTTGAATTGAACCTCACCACAGCAGCAATGATTATAGCTATGTCAACTGGTATCGAGATAACTAGCTGGATGAACTTGGATCACAACTATGTGCACTACTATCGTGCCTGAGAGAACAAACAGTGCAAAGGAGCAATTCATTTGGTAGTGTCGCGGTTGCTCGTAAAATTAAGAAAGCCATCATTAAGGCGAATAAAGCATTAGCTTCAGCTAAAGCAAAACCTAAAAATAGTAGGGATCAGAGGTGAGTCTCTGCCTTCCGTGAGTCTCTGCCTTCCGAACTGCACATGACAGTTTCCCGTCGTACAACTCTCCATCAACAGTCCGTCTTGAACTCACAAGACTCACCCCCAAACGGGCCAACACTGTGTGGCTCACGGATGTTTTTGTCGGGCCAAATAACACGATCCCCGTGCATGTTTCCTTTCATCTGTTTGTTTGGGTTTCTGGCTCAAGCTTCAGTATTCCGCTCCATGGCCGCAAGTCTTAGCATTAGTATGTGTCTGTTGGGCCTTATGGCGACACGATAACAGTTGTAAGGCAAATAGAATTCAATTCGATTGAATTGATGATTAACTCACTGAATTGGTGCGCTTGCCTTTTCTTGATTTATTCGATTTGAAATATGACATGTTGTTGTTCCTTTTTTTTGGCTTGTTTCTTGAGTATGATTTTATTTCGATATCGAAGACCCATTCCTTTATGAACCACGGAGGCTTACAATGTTTGATTGTGGCAGTGAATTGTGTCACCTTTTGTCGGCCAATTCCATCACAATAAATAAGGGTAGTTTTAAGCAACACACATGAACATGAAACAGTTTTCACCTTTGGCAGTAGCCGATGCAGATCCCAGGGGTCGATCCCTTGACCTCAGCTTACCTGTGTACAGTATCTGCACAGT